GGAGTCGGTACGGTTCCGTTCATATGTGCGTTTGGGTTTATTGGAGTAAGATGGGGAAGGGCCTTTGGGGGGATCCCCGGGGGCTGGGTGCATAAGGGGCTGTTATGATCTGTTTTCCTTCTCTCCCCCAGGCCGTGTCGCATGGATCGTGGGCCATTCATTTGTCTTCTGGGCCGAAAGGAGGGCTGCAGCTCGAGCTCAGGGCCACCAGCTGGGCTTTCATCGGGACCAGTTGGCAGTACAGTGGTTCGGGTACAGGGGTTTTTGTTGGGGGGAGGTCTGCGAAAGGGTGTTCCGGATGGTAGCAGGCGGGCAACGGCCGGACCTGCTGGTGCTCCATGCGGGGGGCAACGACTTGGGCCTCACTCCGCAGCGGCGGCTAGTGAAGTGGATGAAGCAGGACCTTAACGGTTTAAGGGACCTACTTCCGGGGGTGATGTTGGTCTGGTCGGAGATTATCCCTAGGAAGCGGTGGCGGCATGCTAGGGACCCGGAGGCTATTGACAGATGTAGGAAGAAAGTGAATAGCTTGATGGCAAGCTTCGTGCGGAAGCTAGGGGGTGTGGTAGTTCGACACAGCGAGTTGGAAGGTGGTTTGCCAGGGTACTACCGCTCGGATGGAGTCCATCTCTCGGCAGTTGGTTGGGATCTGTTGACCCTGGGCTGGCAGGATGGCATAACTAAGGCTCTTTTTCTTCGGGGTGGCGGAGCTCAGACAGCTTAAGGAGTCAAGGTCTGAGCTTGTGGCGGGATAGGGAGCTGAAGGAGAAGAAATAGGCTCCCTAGGATGAACGTCATGGAGACGTAAAACTGTGGTCATTGGTGGTTGGTAGGTTCCGAGTCCTGTCGGTGGCTCAGAATCTGGTGGGGCAGGGGTATCCGGGTATACCCCTGCCATGGTTAATTTATGTTTGGCACTTTAAGTTGGTATGTTGGAATATGTTGATACGTATGTTATATGTTATATGTATATGTATATATGTTATTTATATGGGGGTCATTGCCTGTTATATTAACAGAAGGATTCGGTTACGAGGGCGGAGTATGGGGGCAATGACCCATGTTTATTGTTAAAATTATTATTGCTTAATAAATTATTATTATTCAAGATTGGTTAAATAAAGCTGTGGACAAATTTTCCCATATACCTTTGTGTCAGTGAGTTATTGGGTTGGGTATGTGGGAGGGTTGTCCTGGAGTCCGACTGCCCATATGGCGACTATACACCGGTCATGTAGCCCCATGTAGCCAAAGCGCAGCTAAGCGAAAAAAGGCCTTGACAGGGGTTAGGAGGCGGGCATAGGAGGAGGGAAGGAAGTAGGGAGTTATGGGTAAGTAGGCTTGGCTATTTAAATAGGCAGCCATTTTAAAGCCTTCACTTTTAATTACTACCTTGCTGAGTTTGTCCCGCCCACCCTCCCTGAATTTGGTTCGGACTTGGGTTATCCCGTTTTTTCACAGCGGCGGGATAGGGAGCTGAAGGAGAAGAAATAGGCTCCCTAGGATGAACGTCATGGAGACGTAAAACTGTGGTCATTGGTGGTTGGTAGGTTCCGAGTCCTGTCGGTGGCTCAGAATCTGGTGGGGCAGGGGTATCCGGGTATACCCCTGCCATGGTTAATTTATGTTTGGCACTTTAAGTTGGTATGTTGGAATATGTTGATACGTATGTTATATGTTATATGTATATGTATATATGTTATTTATATGGGGGTCATTGCCTGTTATATTAACAGAAGGATTCGGTTACGAGGGCGGAGTATGGGGGCAATGACCCATGTTTATTGTAAAAATTATTATTGCTTAATAAATTATTATTATTCAAGATTGGTTAAATAAAGCTGTGGACAAATTTTCCCATATACCTTTGTGTCAGTGAGTTATTGGGTTGGGTATGTGGGAGGGTTGTCCTGGAGTCCGACTGCCCATATGGCGACTATACACCGGTCATGTATCCAGTAACCATATCGGTTCCTGGAATTGCGGTCCTTTCAAACTTGGAGCTTCCCGCAGTTTGCTGCTACTGTAAAATCCAACTTAATGCTCGTGAAATTCAACAGTGTAGTTACATTTCAATCAACATTTGGCTCCTATTCAACCTCATTCAGTTGAAATTCTACTGGAATTTTACTCCTCTCGATTACAACAAGGAACAGTTTCATCCAAAAGACTATTTAAGACATAGTTTGAATTTTTTGCAAAACAATCCTGTTTAAACCTAACATCTTATCGTAAATAGGAGACTAATTTATACCCATTTTAGTGCTATTCGAAATGATAATATTTATGTTCAGCCATTGATAAATATGTCATAAACAGAATTGCTATAATCTTGAAATCTAAAGGGAGGCAAAGTTTACATTACTCAACATCATTACTGGTTATTCGACATGCATGTTATACGCCCAAATCCTGGGGGGAAGCCAGCATGTACGTCGATCTTCTTTTATACACAAGTATCAAAATTTTACGTTTATGATTTAGGCGGAGGGTGTATCAGTCGTGGGTCTCTATATGCTTCACTAATGCTTATGATTCAACCAATTACACTTCTTATGCTTCTATACCTTCTATAGATCTTCTAGGTTCCACTATCCTTTCGTTAGAAATCAATTAATAGAAACCTCTTCAGTTATTACCTAGTAAGAAACTGGAAAACGTTTATCCCCCTTAAATGCCAGTTTAGGTGCTAACTCATAGTCACAGAGGTCACTTTCG